ATATGGGAAGGCCTGGCTCTGGTCCCTGCCTGTCAGGCCTCCCTCTTGCTCTCATCGCAGCTTTGCACTGATGTGAACGACACTTGACTGCGTCTCCCAGTGGCCAGTTCTGGTGAGTGTAATCCCTGTGCTGTGTTTTCCATACAGCAACCCTGACTTGCGGAGAACCGAGCCAGTCTTGGAGAGCCCTTTGCAGAGGACCAGCAGTGGCAGCTCGTCCAGTTCAAGCACCCCCAGCTCCCAGCCCAGCTCCCAAGGAGGGTCCCAACCTGGATCACAAGCAGGGTCCAGTGAACGGACCAGAGTGCGAGGTAACGCTTTCTCCTCCTGCCGTTTCCCCGCTGTGTCGCTTGTAGCAGAGCCGGCCACGGGGACGAGAGTACTTCCTTCATTCTGGCCCTGCATGACCGCCAGCTGGGATGTTCTAGATGCCCCGGAACCGTCCTCAGTCTCTACTGTCTCAGCAAAGTGAGCCCCCATCTCCCGTTAGATGTGGTGGCAGGATGTGGACTGAATCCTGCCTAAGCATAGATCCTGCTGTTTTCTAAAGAGATGAATATAGCATTTGTAATATCTAATTACACCTAATTAATAAGATTAGTAGAGCAGAATATTAGTCTTATGCTAAAATATAATCACCAGCTCATTTTACTAGTTGCCATAGACTTCTTTCCATCCCATAGCCTCCCTGTGGAATGGAGGATAGTGACCCCGATGGGCTTCCACAGCTGTTATCTTCCTGAAACAGACTGCCACCTCTTTATTCCCCCGAGTAACTGTGGATTCAAACTGCTGACCTTTTAGTTAACATCAGGTTAACCACCATGCTAGCCACCTCTGCTTCCAGTTCCATTTGCATTTGATTTCCTCATTGAGGACTCCCCCAGGATCCTGTATCCGGAGTGCTCAGGCATTCTGAACATAGTGCTAGGTATTTCTTGACAGGAGATCCAGTAGGACCAACCAAGTGAATATACTTGGAAGAAATGAAATTTTTTTACTTAAAAAATGTGTTTGGGTCATCAGATAATTCTGATGGTGTAGAGAGCTAAAAATTGGCCTCTCTAAACTAATAAATAAGGATGATGGGAAAGGAATTGATGCCTTTGAGCTGTGGTGTTGGAGAAGAGCACTGAACATCCCATAGATGTCCAGGAAAATGAACAGATAAGTCTTGAAGAGGGTGTAGCTGGAGTGTTCATTGGAGGCAAGAATGATGAGGCTTCACCTAATATACTTTGGACATGTTACTAGGAGACGCTGTTCCCTGGTGAATGGTGTGGTGTTGGGAAGGGTGGAGGGTCGGCGAAGGAGAGGAAGACCCTCAACCAGGTGGATAGTCACAGGGACTGCTGCGATGGGCTCCTGTGTGTCAGGAAGTGTGAGGATGGTGCAGACTTTTGTTCACGGAGTCACTGTGAGTTGTGCTCAACTCGACAGCACTTAACAACAACAACAACAACAAACATTTAAGTCATTCTTCATTGTGTGCTTTTCACTAATGAGGGTGTCTGGGGGGGTGGAAATCTTAATATTGTTTAGTTAATTATACATGAAAACACTTGGTGACCAATTAATCAAACTTCGCCCTTTTCTGAATTACCTTCTTCCAGAGACAATTTTGCTTCTAAGTGGCAAAAACCATTACTTTTAAAGAGCCATTTGATAAATATTCATTTATCTGCAAATTATCCTGCCTTAGGAAGACCTCCAGTTTGTTATTTTCCTCTAACTTTGTTCTTACACACACTTATACCTTGTGTCCTAACCTCCTTTAAGGCAAATTAGTAAAATCCCTGAATTTCCATTTCTAAAATGTTGACATCTGCTTTGTGTTTAATGTGGATGTGGGATGCACTGTGGGCGCTCTTCAGTGCCTTTTCCCAACTAACACAGCCCACAGCTATGAATGCCTTTGTTGCCTTCAGATATCTATTATGGAGCTCATGTGGCCTAGTGTCAAGAAGCTGTGCTGCAGTCCCAAAGGTTTGCAGTTCGAGGCCACCAGCTGATAACATTTTTTTAAATGAGAAGGCTTTCCCTTTCTAGCAAGTCTATGCTACCTGCATCAACTACAATCTATTATTGGACTCAATCAGTATCTACATCTTGAAATACCAGATATTGATAGCTACTCTGAAGCACTGATGTCTTTTCCTCAGTTACTACCTCAGAATATGTGTAAGGATCCTCAGAACAGTGTCACTACTATTTTCTATTACCTGTGGAATAAAACCCAAAGACTTTGACATGGCACATAAAAAACCCCCAAATCCTCTGTAATTTCCCCGTTTTGATTTTCCATCCTGATCTCCTGTGGCCTTCCTCCCCACCTAGGCACTCACACTTTTACCCTGCATGCCTCTGTTCTAGACAGTTCCTTCAGTAGAGGAAGCCGTTCTTTATTTTTGGCCTAAAAACATCCATAGTTGGTTTCCAAGACCATTCAAATAGAATCTTGCAGATCAAGTGTCAATGACCATTCCCTCTGAATACCCTCTACTTGCTAATGTCTCTCACTGGAGGATCTCTTCATACCTTATAGGCTGTTGCTGTTAGCACGAAACTCCATGATGGTAACACCTCTAGCTCATCTATGTAGTTGCAGTAGTGCACAGTAAATGCCTAACACATAATAAGAACTCAGTATTTGGTAAAACATGGGAATCGTTATTCTCATCCACTCATTTATTATGCCTCACTGAAGTATATCGCAGATCCTATGTGGAAAAATAAAGATTATCTTCCTAGAGGAAGGAAGCGAGGGAGGGAGGGAGGGAGGAAGGAAGGAAAAAAGGAGAGAGGGAAGGAGGGGAGGAAGGAAGGAAGCTGTCCATTTCCTTACCTTCTTTTTTATTTTTCTTAGCAGGCTAATGTGACTTAAACCAAACTAAACCTACTACAATTCAACTCATAGTAAGGATATAGGACAGTATTGAACTGCCTGCCCCCTAGGGTTTAAAGGCCAATTATCCCCTCAGGTCAGTGAGTTCAAAACACCATGCTGCAGCTCAGCACCGGATGTTTTCGGCACTGGACCCCCAGGCCTTCTCTCATCTCATCATTCATTTTTAAGTCTTATCTTCTTTAACTCAGCCCCCAGTAAAACTCTGGTTTCAAGCACATAAAACTGTCAGACTGCTAATACAAACGTCTGCCGTTCAAATCCACCAGCTACTCTGCAGGAGCAGAAAGATGGATAGTCCCATCCCATAAAGAGTGACAGCTCTGTACAGCCAGTGAAGATTAGCGTGTGTTGCAGTCAACTCCACGGCTGTGAATTGTTGTGGGGGATTTTGTTTTGTTTGGGTTCTTCATTGTATCACTACTCCAGTCATCTTTCTGATATATCCATAAAGACCACTTGAAAGCAATGCAGAAATTCTCCTTACCTTAAAATGCTTCTCCTCTACCTGTCGTTGTTGTTGTTGTTATGTGCCATCGTGTAGCTTGCGACTCATAGCGACCCTATGTACAAGAGCTCTAAATGCTGTTCTATCCTGTGCCAACCTAGCCATCTCAAACACACTTATTCCCACTGCTCCAGTCACAGAATCGATTCATCTCATCGAAGGTCTTCCTCTCCTTTGCCGTCCCTCCACTCTGCCAAACATGATGTCCCCCTCCAAGGACCAGTCCCTCCTTGCAACATGCCCAAAATATGTCAGACGAAGCTTCAGAATCCTTGACTCCAGGAAACACTCTGGCTTCACCCGCTCCAGGACAAACCTGTTCTCCTCTACCTATAAACCAAAAAAAACTGGACCAGTTGTCATCTTGCAAATTCTAGCTCCAGTGGCCCCTGGCGTATCTAAGAAGAACCATTCACTTAAGGGTTTTCAGTTGCTAATTTTTTGGAAGTCCATTAGTAGGCTTTTGTTATCTTGCATTTCTAGGTGGACTCAAAGTTGTAACCTTTGGTTTAGCATCCAGGTGCCTTAACTGTGTGCATCACCCAAGAACTCCTTTAGCTCATAAAAGGAAGGAGTACACTCTGTAGCTTCCCCATCCTTGCTCTGCACCTGAATGCTGCTCTCTGTCCCTCTTATCACCAACACACCTTTCTGCCTGCCCCCGCCACATCCTTTCTTCCACAAAGCGCCTAGACAACCCCTTTCTTGGGTTTGAAAATCATTCTACCAAATGAACTAGCTTTGTAGGGTTTTCCATAGAATGTCTTGCTATGTAGTATTGTTCCCTTAGGTGCTTGGGAGTCAACTATGACTCATGGCAACTCTGTGAGCAGCAGATTGGAAGCCTGACCCATCTGTGCCCTCCTCACCCCCTCCCCCAGGCTCAAGCCCGTTGTTACCCGCACGGTGTCAGGCTTTCATGTTAAAAGTCTTCCTCTCTTTTGCTGACCTTCCCACCTATCCCAGCATAGTTCCTTTTCCCAAGAACCAGCTCCTCCGCGCAATGTACCCGAAGTATTTTGGCTGTACTCTTCATACATGTTGTTGTTGTTCTGTACCACTGAATTGGATCAGACTTACAGTCGGCCCTTCAGGGAGCTTTCAGAGACAGGGAATCCATGAAAGGAGAGGAGTCAGCCATAAAGGAGAAGAAACCAAGCACGGAGTCTCGGCTTGAACACTGGTTTAACAGAATGATAGAAACTAGGACTTGAAGAGCGTGAGTATCAGCTCAGCCTGTATTTTTCCTGAGACCGTAGGCCCATTACATCATCTCTCTAACGCCAATTTTCAGCTGTAAACTAGGGAAAATAGTGCCGTGTCGTTGGGTTGAAGTGAAGCAATCTTGAGTCAGTCAATTCAGAGAGAATTTATTACCGTGCCTGACACACACAGTGGATGTGTGGTAAATGGTGGTGGCTGGTAGTAACGGTTTTTCTTACTTCTAGTGTCTTCCAGGGGACAGGCCTAGATGTATCTGCCTGATTTTGTTTGACCATTTAAGATTATTTCTCAGAAGTGTCCACTGAGTGATGCTGAAGGGCTAGCACACCACAGAGGTCGTGCCCTCGCCGCCTGGGCAGCTGTTGATCTTCTTGGCCTTCTGTTTTTTTCCTCTCTCCAGCCAACAGTAAGTCGGAAGGATCACCAGTGCCCCCCCATGAGCCTTCCAAGGTCAAACCAGAGGAGTCTAGAGACATCACCCGACCCAGTCGACCGGCTGTGAGTGTTGTTCTTTCTTCAGGGTTTTGTCCTCTATTATGTTACCAGAGACCCCAGAGGATAGTATAATTGGGGATACACTCAAAAATGTGAGGTGGGGTGGGATGGGGGAAATCACCTTGGTTAGTTAGAACAGATACTCAAAGCCTCCAGAGCAAAGCTGTGCACGGTGAGGAAAACCTGACAAACAGGACTTGGATAGCCGTGTTGACCTCTATCTGTACTTTGACATGTTTCCCATCATTAGCAGGTCTTTACAAAATAAAACAGGTTAAGAAATAACTCATAGTATTCCATAATTCCTAAACATCAGATTTTTTGCTGGGGGGGGGGGAAGATGTTGAAGCTTGAGTACTATCCATGTGTTTCTCTCATATTTTTTTTTCTACCCTTTCCCCCAATTTTACTGGGAGCCAGACTCTACTGTAACACAACAGACTGCAAATAATCCTTTTAAAAAAGGGGGTTAATAAAAACAGAACCATGTAGAAGCAGATGTTTTGCACTTAAAGATTTAATTTGGACTGCGTTACTGTACATTTATTTGGAATTATCTGAGAATATTTTCTGTGAAGTAAATGTGAAATCTTTCTTATTTGCATTTCAAAGTATATGTATATATATATTATTTCTATATTGTGTTAAAAATAATAGTAAGGAAGATTGGCATCATTTCCGGTTTAATTTCTCTTTGTATTTTGTGTATCACTTTTGTACTAACATTCCCATTTTGCATCTAACTTGCTTCCCTCTCTTCTGACTTTTCTCTCTCCCGTGGATTCCTCTGGACTGGGCTCCTCTTTGCCTCAGAGCTATAAGAAAGCTATAGACGAGGTTAGTATCACCTTTTCTTGATCCTGCTTTTGTAAGATGTAAATAGAAAACTGAATGCCTGCTTCAGCGTTCAGAATGGTGGCCAGTGGGATCACGGGTTCAAGTTGGCGTACGAGCTTGGAGGAGAACCCTTGCATTGGAAGCCAGCCCCAAGCCCTCAGAGGCTTTTCTCCTAAGCCAAAAATCTCACTCCTCCATCGTTCCAGACTGGCTAACAACGTATCATACTCCCTCTTTGTTGTTGAGTCAGAACTGACAGACACCCATCAGATCCCTGTCTTTCTCCCAAGGAGCAGCTGGTAGATTTGAAATGCCTACTTTTAGTTTAACAGCTCGACACCTTACCCACTAGGCTACCAGAGCTCCTTACCACCAGCCACTCGTGCCTCATTAATGGCATCTCACTCCAGTGTCTTCCAGTAGCAAAGCCTAAGCTCTTCACCTGCACTCACCAGTCTCGGGGGGAGTCAGTTCTGGACGGTTTTACTAACAAAAGAGACGTCGATTCTGGGGCACAGCAAATCTATAGCTGGTGATTTGTGAACGAGTAGTTACTGGGTATTGTTAGATTAATTTTCTGGGACGTTAACACCAGCATCAGCAGCAGCATCGACTTTAGTTAATGAATCCTGGTGAGTTAAGTGACTTTATTTCCTTAGAGCTGGAGACGTTTTTCCATTAGAGAAATATATGACTTTGTCAATCGTAGGAAGCTTGCAAAGAGGGATGACAGCCTCTTGGCTATTTGTCAGACCTGCATGAATCCAGCGTAGGAGAATTTTCTTCTTAACAGTCCAACCTTGCAAAGAACCGTAGTGCATGAAATCTGATGCTCACCATTCTGGCTCAAGGCTGTTGCTCTGCTGGGCACTATTTTTACAAGATCTCGGGAAGGCACTGGCTTTGCGACCAACAAGCTGCATATATGTAACCCCTGGATCCCCAATAAGCCTTTGGTTGAGATGAAGCCACTCAATCCCTCTGGACCAGAATGTCTGTATCAGAGATGGGGGTGAAAACACCTGCCCTGCCTCGCTCACAGGGCTGTTTAAGCCCCAGGAGTCCTGTGAGTGGGCGCATTTTATGCAGTACACACTGCTGTGTAAACCCAAGAGCTTGCCATGGCTTACCTAAGGCTTGGGCCTGAGGCTTGGAGCTGTTTGGCAGGTGGGAGAAGCATGTTTCTATGAATCTCATCCTCACTTTCAGAATTATGGCCCCCTCGATCTTCAGAGTGATTCCGAAAGCTATGACCGTGGGTTAAGTTACCGCTTGTAAAGACTAAGACTGCATGTCCGTAAAATGTGGGTGGCATGAATATAGGAAGAAAAAGTAGAAATGATTTCAAATGGCTCTGGGCCACTGCTTTATCCCCTCACTCACAAAGAGTTGGGCTAGGGTCATCACAGTTGTCACCAAAAAAGTTGAAAAAGAATACGATAATCTGGTACCATGGCTGCTTACAGAGTGACCGTGTGTGTACAACTCAGAATGATTCTCCTGAGTCCACAGATGGCCTTGGCTGTGGCTGCCTTGAGGGAAATGGTGCTTGTGGATTTTATTAATCTAAAATTTTTATAAACTTTGTAGATTCTAAAAAAGAGAACTAAAAACCCCACATTTTTATGCACTATGTCAGGTTAAATAAGGTTTTATGGTTGGGACATCATAAGATCAAGTTGATTGAAAAGCATTACTTCAGAGAAGCTTCTTCACTAACTGTGACAGAAAAATCTTCCCATTTTGCCCTATTTGTTTTTTAGTAATGCCTCTCACATATTTTCATGCTAAATAGCACTTTTACTCTTTCTTTTTTTAATGCTTTTTGATTCTAGGTTTGAGACAGTCAAGCAATAAATCATCACTAAGACTCATTATGTGGAGAAAATTGGTATTGTTAGAGAATTGAAAGTATGAAAATGGATCTGAACCCAGTGGTGTCAATTTTAGACCATGTCAATTTCCTTTTTGTTAATGTAAATTGTTCCAGAGGGGATAGAGAAGAAATAAAACTTGAGCTAACTGCATAAGCTGTTGGCAATGGAAGATTAATTTTCTTTGACTGGGATCTTACTTTTAAGTTAGTCATTATTGTTACCTTGGTATTTTCACGGATGTCTCATCCTTCAAGCTCTAACCAATTAAACTTAAAAGGAATTTGCAATTATTTTTAATGTTTCAGTAAAGATAGATATTTAGAAATATGGAAACAAAAAAATTCTAATTAAAAGTGAAATTATAAAGTAGGTAATAGTTTTTAAATGCTTTTAAATACAATGTTGAGAAAATTGTAGGCAAATTTCTTCAGAACAATGGGCTTTGGACCAACTGAATATTTCCAAAGAGCTTGTATTTTTTTTCTTTGTAAATATCTTTTTCTTATTTTGAAATGTCAGAGATGAAGAAAACCGTGCCATGGGGAAAGTGTATCATAAATTTAAGTAAATTCTAGCTAATCTTATTATATTTGATTCAGATTTATTGACATTTGAAATAAGGTCTTTTAAACCATATTCTCTCTTTAAATTAATATAGTAAAATTTCTTTTCTAACACACCACATTTTAAATGCTGGTTATATGCTTTGATGAGTTTACCATGGTTTTAACCAGCAGAATCTACAAAATAAATTTATCTAATGTGTTATTATTTGACTGGTTCCAAGAGTTAGAATACCATTTTCCTTTGAAAACCTTAACAAATACCTAAACTATATTTTTGCAGTGAGCTCAAGTATAGTATATTCTTCAGTTTCTTTTCCATGTGTTAAGGATAAGTACTGGCAATTGTTAAGATAAAATAACAAAGCTTTAAACACAGCTACTAATTTTTTTTTCTGGCGCATTGCTGCTAAAAAAGAAAGAAATCTGCATGAAATTCTATGTTATTGCATTCCTTTTCTGTAAGAATAGATATTATGTTTAAACATAATTGAGCATTTTTTTAAAAAACAATTCTCTTTTCATTTGCATGAATAGGACAAATATATCTGCTGAGATTGAGTCTAGTGTGTGTGTATACATCTGTGTATGTGTGTTTGTTTACAAGTCCTAGCAAATGTGCTTGTGTTTCTAATGTGTAATTTGACTTTTCAGAAGCTTCCTTTTTCCAAGGGCTTCATTTCACTTGAGTTTAGGACAAATTTAAAAGCCCATTATTGCTTTCCATCTGATTTTTATGAAGTTACTACCGCAACACATTGAACTTCCTAAATTTTTAGAACCAATAAAATACTTGGATGTGTTTCTTCTCCTTGTCTTAACTAAAATACTACGTCTGTGACAATGAAGAAACACGCTGACTTGTTGCCTTCTCAAAATGAAACTATGAAATTATAATTAAAATGCATAATAAAAGAAAGATCTAGTTTCATGATGTACACCATGATTTTTTTTTTTCTTTAGCCAGTTAGGATAGCTTATCAAACACTATTTCAATTACCTAAATTGCTGTAAATCCAGTATCCGGTAAATTGGACCAATGCATTTCTGGATTTAAAGAGAGAATATGGCTATAAGAAAACTATGGGATTTAGTCTTTTTCAATAAGTTTCTCTCTCCCTGATCCCGTCTCTCACTGAATGCTCTGACTCCCACACGGGTCACTAATATAGGGAGAAATGGTAAGACTGATGGCAAATTGCTTCTGCCTCATTTGCATGCTGTGCGCCACGGGCAGCCTCTCCCCTGTGAACAGAGCGGCCACGCTTGTGCAGATCTGCTTCCCTGTGCACTGCTCGGAAAGCATGTCGATTCGAGGGTAGTCAGACATCCAGCCTCCTGCCTGCAGTCTGCCTGGTGACTCAGCGCCCCCCCATCACATCGCATAAGGCTCAAGGTTGCAGCACGCTCATGGAAAACTGGAAAATGATCCCTTCCTTTTAGCGTTTGCACATTCATCTCCCAACTCTCAGTCAGGGTTCCTGCCAGGTGACTAGCATTTTAAACAAAAGGAGGCACCCATCCTTCGGGAGGAGAACCTCCTTCCCTCGCCACCCCACCCTGAGTACCGCAGCTCCGTGGCTGTATGTACTTTTCAGTGGCACTGGGCTTTGAGGTTGGCCACCATTTGATGTGAGGCCTGTGCTGTCCAGGGAATGATGGCACACTAGATGAATCACTGTCGTAGCGGGAACCTCGGGAATGGCTCTGTTCTGTGACTGATGCTTTGGTGCTGGATTTGTGTATCACAGCATTCAGACTCAGGCCACAGCCATCACTGTGGCTTGGGCAAGAATCCCAAAATACTGGGGCACAAATTTGAAATCCCATGTATTTCTCCCACCAACTCTGTGGGTGACCAACTTTCCCTCCCCAAAAGAAGATGAGAACTCAGTGTCTGTATATATGTGTACACACACCACTCACATACACATAACATACATATATATTCAGAACGGAACAGCGTCAGTCTAGCTATTGGTTGTTAATGAAGTTTAAATTGATTTCATCTTTCTTTTCTAGTTTCTATGCGCTACAAACATCTTTTTTCTTAGTTCCATGCAGTAATTATGTTCGTAACAGTTCTATTTAGAGCTTTTCTTTCTTTTCTTTAAATTTTTTTTCTTGTTGCTTAAGCTGGAGCTCTTGACTTTCTGAGAAATGTAACTTTGGTCCTACGTGAAATTCATGTGCTGAACCAGCTTTCTTTTTTTCCTTTTTGTAGGATCTGACGGCATTAGCCAAAGAATTACGAGAACTCCGTATTGAAGAAACAAACCGTCCGCTAAAGAAGGTGACTGATTACTCCTCCTCCAGTGAGGAGTCGGAAAGTAGCGAGGAAGAGGAGGAAGACGGTGAGGGCGAGACTCATGATGGGACGGTGGCCGTCAGCGACATCCCCAGGCTGATGTGAGTGTGGACCGGGGGCCAGCGGGAGGCTTTGGTCATGATGCTGCGTCATTTCTGTCCAGTTAACTCCACTCCTGGACCGTCTAAAACTAATAGTACATACGTCTAAGTCATGTTCACAGTCAGTGGTGTGTTAGGGCCATAGTTGTGGTGGTCATGTCCGTCTGTCTCATTGAGATTATCCCTCGTTTTGCTCTGGCCTTCGCTTTACCAACCGTGGTGTCCTCTCCTAAGGTAATGATAGCTCCTTCCTGATAAAGGGGCCAAGGTAACCAAGGGAGGAAGTGGCTCTTTCCACTGCCTGAGTGGAGTCCCACTCAGAATGACCTTCCAGTGAGTTTCTGAGTCTATGTCTCTTCACATAAGGACACTGCCCGTCTGTCTTCATGGAGCACCTGCCTGTTGATTCTGAAATGCTGACATTTCTGTTCGGAGTCACACACATAAGGTGCTATGTCACCAAGAACTGGGTCTCCAGAACAGGACAAGAACTATCACTAAGTATGAGGTAGTTTTAAATTCTTTATGGGGTAAAGCTTATTTTGGGACATGGTTTTTTTTTTCATTTTAGGACATGTTAGTTCTATAACAGTGTCTCTCACTGGACGCATCATATAGAATATGTGACATACCTAGACCTGTATTTGCTTCGTGGATTTATTGGCACTGGATTGATTAGCCCTTTAGGGACTTTCTTGGTTGTTTTTTTTTTTTTTGAAAGCTTAAAAAAGCTTTATTAAGGGAGCTCCTAGGGAGGATTCCTTGGTCTGGGGAGAGATCAAAACGGGGGAAAACAACACCCTAAGGTGGCTTGGGGCAGGTTTTTATAGTAGGGTCTTTAGGGAGGGAAGGAAGGGACATTCCATTGTGGTTTAGCCTGTTGGGAGAGGCTGTTCACCCCCTTTGTTGACATGTTGATATTCTTTGAATCCTCCATTCTCCCCTTTGACCTTGGTCTGAGCCTGACATCCCAGCCTCTTCAGTGAGAAAAAGGGTGATGTATATAGCTACTTCCTGCTGAACACGGGTGAAGATCTGGGGCTCAGAGGCTGGACTGGGTTGGCCCGGGATCAGTAGCCAGGGGAGAATATGGATGTCACAGCAGTGGGTTCACTGTTAAGTTGGTCATTTCTTTTATTCTGTGGCCTTAACTGCTGTGGGGTTGTCACGATGACTGTGTGAGGTCTGTCTTAGTGTGGTTGAAGAACTTTGAGTACATGCCATTTGATGAGGATGGTGTCTTCTGGGGCGACTCCAGTTGTTTGGTCTAGACATTCAGGCAAGGGTCTGGTTATGCAGCAGTCTGTGTATTCTCGTAGTAATTGCCGTTTGACGTCTTGACACCATGCAGCTGGTAGGTTTAAGAGAGAGATTGAGGAGCACAGCACATGCCCCAAAGGAGAGTGGAGGCACAACATGCCTTGATTCCTCTCCCAGGTTTCACACACCAGATGTTAGGTCTTCGCACTGAATGTAAGGCCAAGGACTCAAGGAAGGGACCAGAGAGAAAGAGGGAAAGCTCACTTTCTTGGTTCTTATTGTCTCTCAGGTAAGTGATATCAACAGCCAAGCTGTTGGTTCACATGTCTCCTCAGAACTGAAAATATGAAATGATGGGTAGTGGCATTGAAGGATTAATATTAACATTGTAAGACATTATACTCCATTATTTCTTTCTTCTCAATAAAGAGATTTTTGTAGACAGTGTAGGTTATCAGCCCAAAAAAAGATAGCAAGAGTTTAGTAAACTTGCAAGAAACTTCAGATCCTATGACTTTTCTGTCTCCTAATTATGCTCTGGTGGCTGTGAGTTGTGCTGCCAACCCAAAGGTATGAACACCATACACACCAATCAACTCAAGGTGCATCAGAGCCCTAGTGATAAAACCCAAAACCCAGAAGGATCATAAGAGACAAAATGAGAAACATAGACATAGAAACTCTAGATTGTGGCATAAATATTATTGCAAATATAGCTAGAAATGCACAAGCAAAATCAATAAGTAATACCTTCTAAAAATCAAGTCCATGTATGCATCAAAATGTGTTCTTTTTTTTAATTTTTAAATGCAACATATATTTTTTACAGGATATTCTTCCCATTTTATTTTCCCCCCATTCATTCATCGTTGCATATTTTCCTCCCTGCCCTCCACTCCCCCTCAGTTCACTTTCTCTTTGAAAAGAAGGAGGGGGGGGGAAATTCTTTCATTGTTATACAATCCCCTGCCCCCTAAGTCCACAGTCCACTTTACTATGCACTTTTTTTCCTGGAATCTTGTCATGAAAAGAATACTAAATCATATACCCCTTTTAAACAGCTCTCTCCCTCATCTGTTTCAATGCAGTATATTTAATTTATCCCCTCTTTTCTTATGTTCCCCACAAGCCCAAAGTCAGTCCCATTTTACAACAGTGGCATTATGCAGTATTTGTCTTATTATGACTGAGATATTTCACTCAGCATAATGTCTTCCATGGCCACTCATTTTGTATAATATTTCATGAGTTCCTTGTTTTTCAGTGCAACATAGTATCCCATTGTGTGAATATACCACAGCTTCTCCAGCCATTCATTTATTGATGGGCACTTGGTTTGTTTCCAGCTCTTTGCTATTGTGACCAAAGCAGCAATAAACATGGGTGTGTGTATATCTGCTCGGGTGGTGGTTATGGTTTCTTTAGGGTTTATTCCCAGCAGTGGAATTGCCGGGTCAAGTGGTATTTCTATTTGCCACTTTTTGAGAAAGTGCCATACTGCCTTCCAGAGTAGCTGCACCATTTTATACTCCCACCAACAGTGAATAAGGGTGAAAATAGAGCTTACAGACGAGGAAGAAACAAAAGATCTGCCTCCATCTCACATGGTCTTTCCAGTTCAAACCAACGCATTCACATAATCTCATTCATACTCCTCTCCTACCACAAATGAACACAAAACAGCGTTGGCCTGGCTGGCTGTGTTGGTCATCATTACACACAGAGAAGATGCCATTTCAGGTCACAGATGGCTGGCCTGCCCACAGAGGTTGGAGGGACAGGCTGGCCAGTCCTCAGGGACATCTCATTCATTGATTGACCATCACTGCATACAAGTAATCCTGACAGCAAATTCAATTAACGAAGCTGGAAATCAATCCATCTTGTTCTTTTACTTCCGGTTCCCCAGTTAGTGACAACCATAAATATGCTAAAGTATGACATTTCCAAACAAATGACTTTAAATTGTTTTTCCAAGAACAAGTGAAGTTGTTCTACAGGCAAAATTGCTAATCGAGAACATTTCCACAAAGCATGCTGGTCCTGTTGCTTTTTGTCTTGACTCAGCACTGGGTACTAATTCTTGCAGCTGTTTTGCTTTCCCTCTGAGCACTGAGCATACAACTATCAGGATGCGTTTGCACCCAAGATGAACTTCAGTGATCAAATTTAAAAGAGTTTTAAAACTTGTGTACTATGCTAGGCACAGTACTGAGGTCTTGAGAAATTCGAAAGGTGTGCAGATGGCTCCTATCTTCCAGGAGTTTGTATTCTAATTGTAGAGCGACAGTTACATAGTGAACACTGTGTGTTAATACAAACATTTAGAAGGGCAGCCTGTGCCAGCCTCAGAAAAAAAAACATTTGGTTTTCAACCTCCGTGTCACATTTTTCAGCCCTGGTTAAGGACTCAGCAGTTAACAAAAGGTCAGCAGTTTGAACCCAGCCACCACTCCTGGGGTAAGATGCAGCAGTCGACTTCTGTAAAGATGATAGCTCCTGAAACCATTAGGACAATTCTTTTCTGTCCTATAGGGTCGTTTTGAGTTGAGATGACAATGGGCTTTCATGTATCATGTTTTGCCAAACATTAATGTTCACCCTGCCAACCCACAAGACAAATGTATGACCTTTGTCCAGGGCAAACACCTCCCACCCCAGTTTACTAAAATGCCCTGAGTCATCTGTGCCGGGCTTTTGCTCAGCTGTTTCACATACAGTTCACCTTGCCTGCCTGCTTTAGAAATCACATCCTTTACAGTTCCATCCACAGAGGTAGCACCAGCCCCCTCCACCAGGCTGCCTCTGCCCCTTGGATGTGTTCTAGCAGTTTTACTTCGTGTCTCAAATCATGATATTTCTGACTCTCTCCCTCTGTGGACTGTGTAGCATTGGGCCTTATTAATGTGTGCGGATTGGATTTTATTAATCCCTCTGGTCTTAGCACCTTGCATGGTGCCCGGGCTATGGTTTACATTCATCTCAATAGAAATGTAATAGCAGTCCTTGCTTCAAAGAGCATATAGCCTAATCCAGAGGAAAGATATGGACGCAAATAACGGTCATCATGAGAGAAAAGGATGTGGAAGATACTAGAATTCCAGGCAGACCCGGAAGGCTGAGTTTATTGGGAATGCAGGGTTTATGTAGGGAAAGATGTCTTGACTAGTGGAACCAGGATGGGTGTGGGCTCCATGCAACTGCAGAGCATCTTTGAGCTGGAGAGTAAATGATCTGATCAGTAAGCTGTGTTCAAAGAGGGTTAATTCTGTAAAATGTTTTGGAAAGAGGACAGAGTAGAGAATGTGAAGCAATTAAGTGAATTTACTACTATAATCCAGGTGAAAAATAAGAAACCCAGAGTATCATGGGATGATTTCTAATGGAAGCAGTATTTGACATGACTTCTTGAAGATTTAGCAAATAATGATTGATTAAGGAACATTTAAAAATATTTGATTATTACTGTAATCCCAGAGGTGCATGGTTCGAATCCACCAGATGTTCTGCTGGAGAAGGAGGGACAATCTCCTCCTGTACCAGTCAGATCTGATTTGACGGTACACACAAAAAAATAATAATAAAATAAAAATTTTATTATATAGTGGTAGGGAGTTGCACTGCCAACCCAGAGATTCATGGTTTGAATCCACCAGCTGCTCCTTGGGAGAAGATGGGCTGTCTCCTCCCATGCAGTTTGCAACAATGAGTCAATTCCAACTCAGTGACAGTGTGTGAGT